ATATATATATATATATATATATATATATATATATATATATATATATATTCTTAAACAACACCAAATTATTATTAACTTGCTGATATTTATATACAATTACTATTAATTATATTATTATCATTATTTTACACAACCCTTTTCCCTCTCGATAAAAATCAAAGAGGAGTAATAATTAGTTTTCGATCATCCACCCGCCTTCGGTGTCACTACAAAATATGGGGCTATATTGTGGAAAGTAATTAATATTTGTTTGCTGAAATGAAACTATCCACTCATTTGTTGAAAGGAAACCATTCTCCATTTTCATTGAAAGCCTATTTGATGCATATGGAAAATAAAATAATCTCCTGAAGTGCACTATCTCTGAAAAAATTGTTTGTACCCGTCGCTTGGCGCGGGTAAACGGCTAGTCATCATTAATGAAGTTGGTGCAAAGCTTGAATGTGTTTGATATCTTTACAACCTATTTTTCATTTTTTTATATTTGTTATTTTCCACTTTGGGAGGCTGTACCCAAGTTGTCATTTTCTTCCTTTTCTTAAAACAAAATTAAAACGGAAGGATATACAAAGCGCTATCTTGATTTTTGTTGGTTGGAATCTGAATTCACACAAAACACTTTCTAAATTATCAAATAGATAATATATTTATAGGTGATAAATTTATTATCTTCCACTCATAACAAATGAATACAAATATAACATATATTTTCATAAACCGAAAATCATGTGAAGCTAAACATAAATAAAAAACTTAATGAGATCTCATAACTAGATACTGTGAATAATGACCTAAAGTACTATCTACATAAGGCCTTAAATATATATTCTTATTGATGGTGGATAGTGGCAAGTATATTTTCGTACATAAAATTTTTCTATACTAACTATAAGATTTTTTTTTTGTGTGTAGAATCATGAACGGTCACATTTACGTTGATGCATTTTCATTGTTACAAAACTTCCATTTGTGGTATATTTTGACACCCGTTCGTGTGGATTTCATTTGGAAAGACGCAAGAACAAACAAACTCTTCATTGTTCTCATTGATTAAAATGTATGTTTGAAAAATTATTTATATCTTATTTTCATTTTCACAATTTATCATAAGTATTTTGTTTATAAAAATATTACATTTTCTATTAGAGAGAGAAATTGGTAGCAGTTGTTCCACAACAAATGATACGTTTTTATTTATGGAGGGAATCTATTGGGTGGTGTGTTCTCTTTAAACCATTTCCAAATCGAACCAACTTATGCTGAGTATCCGAGGTATCAAGAATACAGTTTATTACGTGGTGATTTGATGATTAGGATCAGCAATAACACACGGTTTAATCGTCTGGCCGATGCTATCATATCATGGTTTTCGGTTTTTCCATTGGTTCCCTCGATTAAAAGGTTAATAGAGAATCGGACAGAGAGAAAAATGATGATCGGTAAATTTAATAACTTATATATATTTTTAGCATTCTAAAGTTTTTAAAATGATAACAAGTTATCCTTTTAATTATCGCTATTTTTAGATATTGTTGGAAAAATCATCAAAGGCAAGCGAAACTATTCCCGTTACTTTGGTTTACTGGCGTTAACTTCGTTCACTTTATATCTCCAAGATGGGTCGTAAGTGTTTATTATTATTATTATTATTATTATTATTATTATTATTATTATTATTATTATTATTATTATTATTATTACACTAAAACAAAATTAGATGACTTTGGAAATATTTGATTATAAATAGGGGTATAATAAAGATGAAACTATATATAACCGACCGAACGCGCCATTAGATTTTGAAATAAAAATATGTTGTTTTGGTTTAGAGATAAAAGTATATTGCTCTTAAAACTAAATATATGTTGATGTCTTCGGTTAAAAACTGGTGCCTAGTAATACTTTTGCGAAATATCGATCCTTCAAATGGGTTATGTAATGACACCAGATTGATATGTTGAGCTTTCCAACAAAATGTCATTGATGCAGAGATAGCTGTTGGTCAACATGCTATCGGTTTTTGCTTAATTTGTTTTGGGTGCCCAGTAATACTTTTGCGAAATATCGATCCTTCAAATGGGTTATGTAATGGCACCAGATTGATATGTCGAGTTTTCCAACAAAAT